TTTTAGTATACACTAAAAAAAAGATCCAACGATGATTGGAAGGTTTTTTTTGTTGGGTAAATCAGTAGGGGAGAAGGCGCCCTACCCGCTTTTCATTAATAATAAAAAAGAAAACTACAGTTCATAAAGTTACAACCCTAGAATAGGGCACTTGTGCCACATCATGTAGTAATGCAAAAAAAATAAAATCCGGTGGTCTAGCTCACCAAACAGTAGCCTCTAAAAAAATTGTAGCTTTCTTAACAAGGCATCAACCACCATATTTGCCTCACGATTGGATAGAGAAATATTGAAGGTGGGGGATCTTGCTTCTCAAAGGTCACTACAAGAATGTTAGGAGTCAAGTAACATAAAATTGGTAGATAAGTACTAGAATATTAGAATACAGCATAGATGCCCAAACAAAACCGAATGGGTGGTATAAAGAGGAAAAGAGATGTTTAGTAGAAGACAAGAGCAAGGCAAAAAAGATAATGAAAACAATGAAAAAGAGCACCAAATTGATAGAGACCAATGAAAATAAAAAAAATGAAAGGAGACGTATGAGAGGAAACAAACCAAAATATTGAAGCACAAAAAGGAGAATAAACCCACATGCCCTAGCTCTGTATGCTTGCAGCTTTCTAGAAAGTTGTGCCAACTAAGCAAGAGAGAAGTGTGGGGGGAGTGGGTGGCCAAATCTAGTCACACACTCGGGGGGTTCAGCGGGTTATTATAGTCCGCCGGGAGTATACGGTTAAATTCTCCCTCGGGTAATACCTTATCTGGGATTGATTTGAGGGGCTCAATTTTTGATGATATAACCTCTTCAATTCATAGATTCAACCTAATAAAATTTTCAATTCATAAATTAAACCCAATAAAATTTTTTTTATGATTGACCTCCATTCAGTTGAAAAAAATAGTCTCCAAATTGAACATAGACAGTTCAATTTAAGAGGTTGAGATCTGAATGTTAGAAAACTCATAATTCAAATTATTTTCTTTTGAGAATAATCATCTAGTGATTCTTAGGAGGTCCCCAAAATTTCAGATTGAAAAGTCCTCCTAAGTAGGTCTTTCGACCAAGGGAGTAGATATATATTATACTCCCACTGGAGCACGATATATTTTCTCAAAAATGAAAAAATGCACACTATTTAGCACAATATATATAGAAAAACAAATTATCTCCATTTCTTGAGAGAAGGGGGAGGAGAATAGCTTTTGTGGATTAGGGTTGCTCAGTTTTTTGGAATGACAAAGTAGGCCCCAATCTTCCTTTTGGACTGGTTTCTCGGTGCTAGATTGGCTGATTGTGTTTTGGTAGCCCGTCAATGACAGTGAAAACCATGGGTATTTGGGTGGCAAAATCAAATATATGGAGCGGATTACTAGAAATGGAAGTGGCCAAACTAGCCCCATTTTAATCATGGGTATGGTTTGTATCGGGTCGATGCCCTAAACCATCAGGGTAAGGAGTGCCTTCAAATAGCGTGTGCTTCAAAACTGGAAGTTTTTGTGATGGCTTGAAATTTTATTTTTATATCTAATTACAAAATTTAAAGCTTCAAAAATAGTGTAAATCAAGCAAACCTATAAACCCTTGAAAATTTTGAAAATTGATGGTCGAAAAATTCATTAGAAGATGCACTATTCTCAATACTTGAAATCCATTTTTTTCTATGTCCGTGTAGCTTAAGGTTAAGATGATGAATTTGAGGATTCTTGAGCATTGAAACAACCAATTCTAGTGAATTTTTAAGGTGCACCTTAATTGCCCTTATATAAAGTTTTTCGTTTAATCATGCATAGCCCAAGGGGCTACAACTATTGTTTGCTGCCAAAATAAATATTGATAGTTGGACTACTTAATGAAACTTATTTATCCCATACACCTGGTGGAACAAAAAAAAGTGAAATATGATGACAGTTTGAGATAGAAATTTCAAGAGATAATAAGGGAGGAAAATATCAAATTTCACATGTAAGGAATGGTTAGATTTCTGTTAAAAAAAATTTAAAAAAATATTTGGGGAAATTTAGGTAAATATCCTCTATAGTTTTTGGAATTTAAAAATGTCTCCGATATTTATATTTTTTATTCATATCTTGCTTTTGAAGAACATGTGTAGCATCTTAATTTATCTTTTTTTTATTCTTTAGAGTAAACTCAACTTTCGAGTGTCTAGCTTCTCACCATCATGCATATGTGAAATACAAAAAATAATAATTAAATAAAAATAAACTGACCACAATATACATACAAAATTTAGGGGTATTTTTTATTTGTTTGGTCATTTTATGTATTATAAATTTTATCTTATAAATTTTTCCAATGCTTAATGATGGGCGGTATGGATGTCCGATGTTTGAGCTTAATCCGATATATACATAAAAAAGAGGATATTCTTTTAGGATCTAAAACTGAACTCATTCATTTCTGGTTTTGCTTTTCTTCTTTGGCATTTAATAAGAGAGAGGGAGAGAGGACTCTCAAACAAAAAAACTTTCGTTCTTTTTTGTTTGATATAGAGAGAGAAAGAGGGAGAGACTTTATGTCGTGTACTTTGAATTTAGTGAGGTGAACTTGTTGAGTCTTTTTGCTATGATTTTGGTTGAATGATTGTGTTGGGTGAGAAATAAAATGCTTTGAAATTTACCATGACAAAGACATTCTAGCATCTCATATTTACCCACATCTTTTCTTCCTTTTTTTTTTTTATTTTTTTATCTCTTTCCTTTGATCACTTTGAAGTGACCCAAGTCCTACCATAAATTTCACATCTCAATATTTATGTGCCCAAATTCATCACGTGGCCAATCGCGTTCCAATCAAAACCCTCCATTGAAAAAACAAAGCTCCACCACCCACTGCCAAGCAAAGCCAAGTTGGTTGCTAGTCCAGTCTGTTCCTGCAGGCTGCTTGTATTGAATTTACAAATTATGCTCCCTTCATATTAAACACAAGATGTAAGGATACGAAGATGTAAGGATACGAAGAAAAAAGAATTTCAAACCTTAAAAATTGGATATCTTGTAACGAATTATTTGGACCTTCTACTATCAATATTTTTAAGTATTAATAGATGTGTTCGATCTGTACTATTTTTAAAATTTCAAATTTTATAAGTAGAGTTAGAAATAGATTTTGAAGCCATCATAAAGTTTCTGATGCTCGAACTACATCTCCATAAAATTTTAGACGTGTGCCTTACTTGGACAGCATAAGTAAACCTCACCCTTCAAACAAAAAGGGTGAAAAATCACATACTCTACTTGTTTTAAAAAAAAAAAAAACATACTAAGATTGAATAGAGATCGTCTAACTTTTAGATAGCTAGCTCTTAGTATTTAGGAACTTTATCGAATTTTATTTTTGACACTCAGTGGTGATTTTAAAGTGGGTCCTGAAATTGCTAATCAATAAAAATGTTCCTATGGGTATTTTGCTCGAGGGAGTATATGTACAATTTGATCATAAGAGAACTTAATACATTGTTTTAAAAAGGATATGTAACCAAATTAAGATATTTTCACGTGCAAACCTAGGGCTTATGTTGTCGTCATTGAACTTAAAAAGTAATGCCCCTTCGTAATTAGCATATTAGAGCCCAAAAGGGACACATAAGCTAAATAAGGGTTGTACTCAACTCCAAATATAGGATTTTATCTTCTAAAATGCAGAGTACAATCCTTATTATACAAAATATTGAATTTAGATAAAGAAAAGCATATATAATGAGACGATTTATCTTTGCTGACAAGGTGGTTATAATTAATCTTGACAATTGGATGTAAAATTAGGTGGCTATGTTTATTCCAATGACTAAACTCAAAGTTCAAAGGAATTTTTTTCAAACTTTCACACACCCAATCTATCAGATTTTACATCGGATGGTTATGAATAATTGTTACATCTTTGGACCAAAACAAATGGTGTCACATTATATACAATCCCTTTAGATCAATAGCCAACACATGTTATTTCACATAATAAATTTTTTGTTGGGTAGAGAATAACTATACCAGCTTCTATATATTTTTATATGTTAAAAATTGAAAATGCCTATGGCAAAGTGTATGTTCATATGCAAAAATGTTTATGTTTTTCTTAGTGTTTGTGTACTTTTACTGTGCTTGTTCTCCTGCCAAGTACCTATCAGTGCTCATAGCTGGGCATCTTTTTTCTTTAAATTCGTAAATACCATTGACGGGCTTCCATGCAACTCTTTTCAATAGTCCACATTTATTTATGGAAAAAAAAAGGTAAACAAAATTGGAGGGAATATGTTAAGAGAAAAGAGAAAATGGAGACTATTGCCCAATTCACTTAAATTTCAATTTTGTTTTTTTAAAAAGCAGCCCTAGCTAAGCAGGTTCACTAAATAACTACCTCACTTTAAAAACTCCCATTAAAGAAAGAACCGATCGACCCTTAGTTCTATGATAAAACCCTTATCAAAATAAGTAAAGCCTCTCCTCATAACTCATCTAAAATTGCAGTTCAAGCATTAGAAAATTCTTACATCAATCATCTTGGGTTGAGCCTTGATCCTTATGGTTATGAAAGAAAATAGGATTTCAAGCTTTAAATATAGTGTATATTGTAATAAATTATCTAGACCGCCTATTTCTCCTAAAAATAAGTATATATAGATATGTAAGATCTTATTTTTTGAGTTTCAAATTTCATTGTAGGTTTTTAAAATTGATTTTAGAGCCATCATAGAGATTTTCGTCGTTAAAAGTGCTTTCCGAATGAGAATTTGTGGTGAAGTGATATTTTATTTTCATAAAGCCTAAGCCTTATAGAATTTTTTTTTTTGGGTAAGTACTTTATAGAAACCTCATCCTTAAATAAACCAAACTTGAAATATAAGATATTTTCAATGTTTCATTATATTACCAAAAAGAATTCAAATTTTGAAATTTTAAAAAACTTGAGGTAGTTTGGTATTTTTTGAAATATAGGGCATTTAACGGTTGGCTTTCATTTTACAGTGGAACTCAACTCAGGTTTGACTGTTGCTTTGACCCTCGACCTGCTACTGAATGCGATTGCCATTTTCCATTTGCTTTTGAATAAATCAACAATTAGGCGCTTTTGTTAATATTTATTTAATATAATTACTTCGGATGCGTGCTTTGGAGGGACAAATTCCACTAGGATTTGGTTGCTTCTCTTTGAGGGCATTCTCTCCCCTCTCCTCTCCTCTCTTCCCTGAAACTCAAGCCTGACCAGATCCAACCACCTACTCTTCCTAACCCCACATTGTGCACTTTCTCTCTCATCCAAAGTTTCTTCATTCTCTCTCTACTTATTTCTCTATCATCAAAGAATTTATCGATTCTCTTTACTCTCTACCTCGATTTGTTGTGATTATACTTTCTGCAAACATGGAACCCTTTTAATCGGATTACTTGCCTCAGTTCCTCTCAAATTTAGGGCTTTTTTGGGAGGAATTTGCTATGGTTTCTCCAAATGTGGAGGATTACTGACTGGAAAACTTGGGGTTTTTCCCCACTATCAAGTGATTTTTTCCCACTACAGGAATTTGATGCCTGTTCAGAGTTGTGTTCAGTTGATTGGAGAAAAATTAGGGAAAGGAGGAGATTCTTTTGGGCTTTCCTCTGAGGAAGGCTCTGCAAGATGTCGGCTTCTCTGGCACCTTTCGATCGCCCTAGAAATGGTGTTGCTAATACTGTAGGCTCTGAACCCCTGGTTTTCAGTTGTTTGCTTCAAACTTTGGTGTCTAATTGTTAGATTTCATCTTCTTTTATGGGAAATGCAATGCTCATGAATGCTTATTGGAATATTGTAGTATTCAGTTTGTCCTGGGTTTGTTTCAGTGGGTCGTAGAAACCTCCTTATACAGGGGAACATATTGTTCTTCATCTCTGTGTACTTGGCATTTCTTTTGTGGTACTTGTTGTTGAAGGATTTACTCTCTGTTTTGAATTTTATTAATTTTATTAGAAATTGCTTGTTCTCTAAGAAGTTATCTCAAATGTTGTAGTCCTTGTGTTAGTCTGCAATAATAGACCTGTGATTGGAATATCTGTTTTTTCTACTACTAATACTAACTCCTGAAGTCTTGATTTATTTGCATTGTTGAAACTCTTGCTGGAGTCCTCAATTGCTAATTGATGTTCTTGCTCAAATCCTGAAATGCAATTGATATCGTTTATCAATTCCTGAAATTTCATTAGGTTACATTGTGTTCAACTGTTCATTGCATCTGATGCTATATGAAATGTTATGGTTTAGGAGCTCTCTAGTGACTCAGTCAGCGGTGACACTCATTTCACTCATTTGTGCAGGTTTTCAAGAGTGGACCTCTTTTCATATCATCTAAAGGTCAGTTATTCCTGTTACTATGTTCTCCTGTTTCTTTTGGGCAAAATGTTGTTCATTCACACATGTGTCTGGATGCAAGCTTCCATGTGCGTTTGCAGTTTAGAGTAAACATTTTTTTTGGGAAATTGGCAAATCTTCCATATCTGGGCACACATACGAGTAGTATCGTTTCTAGTGACAGACTATTGTTGGATGACATATAAATTTAAACATGAATGCACACATACATCTGTGTATATCTATGATATGTGTAATTGTGTCACATATAACCTACATACATTGTTCCATACAAACATTCAGACTCAGGAATATTTAGTGTGCAAAAAATGAGATTATTTACATTCTCAAAAAATATTTGTGTGCAAAAATGAGATTATTTTACACTAGGTGCTGGTAGTGTCTACAACCACGCAGGTTTATAAGATTAACAAAAGTGAGAGGATTGAAGGTGCTAAACAAATTGTCTTAACCAACAATGGAAAGAAGGCGGTCTATCTTAACCAACTTGGTAGTTTCTAGAGCCTAAATAGTGTCTTTTTTTTTTCTTGTTTATCCATGAAGACTGTATATTGGAAAAGCAAGTTCCTCATCAAGGCTTGAGAAAATCAAAGATTTTTGTTGCGAAAAACAAGATTGACATGGTCATGAATCTTGATTCAGTAATCAAAACATAAAAATGGCGGATTATGAGGTGTTTTGAGGTTGGAAAAGATGTGGGTGGTTTGGTTGGTAGAGGGTGAGTTAGAGCATGTGGTATGATCATGATTTGTATAGTAGATTCTTAGAGAAAGGTGATGCTATCATGGAAGTGCCCACTACGTCCTTTGAGTTCGAATGTTAGATTGCTTCACTTGGGACTTGTCAGCCACATATGTTCCCAATGGTCTGAGCCTTATATCTCATTTGACAAATTGAGGGAGATTAGGTGAATCATAGATGACTTATGATGTCTAGGAGTTGTTGTAGGAAGTGGGGAGTAGACTTGCTATTATTATGGCATGCTTTTCTGATGTTGTTGCATGCCATGGACTGATTGATTCTGTCTTTACAAGGAATATTTCACCCAATGTTTTAAAAAACGGTCCGAGCGCCTAGGCTCTTGCCTAGGCGGCCTGGACCAGAATACCGCAAGCCCAGACTCATACGGCTGCTGCATGGGTGGATGTACCTGGGCGGGCGCCCAGGGACGTGGCTTTTATTTATTTATTTATTTTTTCACTACCCAAAAGGGAACATGGGGTAATTTTGAGGTTTAAATAGGTTATGGGGGTTATTTTCAACCCCCAAAGGTAAAAGAAAAATTCCATAAACTTTCAATCTCTTAGCTATACCTGTTTTTGAGAATCAAAAGTATTTTTTGTGGTTTGAAGATCCTTCCTAAACCTTTTCACTTATTATGAAATATGAAGAGTTGGAGTGTATTACTAATACATATCCTATTAGACTTTTAAATTTTGTATGATTTGAATTTTGAAATTTTGCACAAATTTTTTCTCAACATGCGATATGTCATATTTTTGTATATAAAAAAATATGTCACAATATTTTTAAATGTAATAAATTCTAAAATTGACACAAATATATGTATATATACTACATATCTATATAACTTGTACACTAGGGCGCCTAAGGTTTTGGGCCCTCGCTTGGGCATTGGGCGCCAGGCCGGCCGCCTAGCGTTTCTTGAAACCTTGATTTCACCTGAACTAATAACCAACGGACCCGGACATATCCGGATTGGAACATTGCCTTATTTCTATGGACTAGGAAGAGAATGCGCCTTGTGTAGAGCGACCTCGGGAGATATCCCTATCCTCCCTTAGTGACCTCCTTGAGGGAATAGGAGCAGATAATGCTGGAAAAACTGTATTGTTGGAAAAAAACAATCTATGACTTCGTCCTCAGCCCTACATAAAATTCAAATATTGGGTGCTAGAAGCCTACATTCCACTATGCTCTAGGTGGTCCACTATGCTCTAGGTGGTCAACTATATGGACCTTATCAATTGGGACCAGCCAATAGGAAAAAGATTGTGAAAGAAGGGCTGCAGAGACAGATGAAATACTAGGGGTATAACCATTCCCCCATTCCCATTTCTTCGGACAAATACAAAACTTAATCTGGAACAACTTGGGGCTGTGGTATGTCCAGACCATCCTATCATGACCCCCTTCTTGGTATAAAATGGCCATAGAATTTTGGTCAAAAGCTTGCAAGTTTAACCAACACATAGATCCATAAGATCCTTCCAAACACGGGCATCTCAACAGCTTAATTCCTAAGCCCGCCAAACTCAAAAACAGCACCCCATACATAGGCCAATGTGGTTGGGTGCAATCTTGACCATGCTTGAAAACCATCATTTAGAGGAAACTCAATACGCCACTAGACCCCCAAAAACGTTGCCCTGCTCCCAACCCTGACCGTAAACCTAATATTCTTCCTAAACATTAAATCATCTAAAGTATTACTATCATGTCTCCCAAAACTGTTAGACTTCTACTTGTTTCTATACATCTTGATGGAGATTGCTTCCCGAAAGCATAATTTGTCACCCAGATGTATGTTCAGAGTGACCCAAAGCTTAAATTGAAGATCTCCTCGATATCTACAACTCACATATTGGGCTTCAAATTATTGTTCAAGCAGGCCAAAAAATTAGTGATAGTTTTTGTTTTTTTCTCAAGTGTATTAGGTTTCCTTGTTTTCATTATTGAGTCTTTATTATTACTATTTTTTTGAGATGATGGTTTCTTTGTTTTCATTTAGTGAGTGTTTTTGGAACACTGCTTTGGAACTCTAATCTAGGTTTCTTTGTTTTCATTATTGAGAGTGTATAGAAGCCAATTCTCATATACTTAGAGTACCACTATTTCAAGACGCAAGACAATACAACTTGAATTCTACATAATACACTTGAAATTCAACTTGCAAAATGAAATTACTGCAAGGTTACTGAGATTAGTGTAAACAAATGACTTCAAAATACACTTAAAAATAGAGGATAAAACTCAACTAGGGTCCCTTGTCCATCAACAAAACAAACTACTCAAGGAGATCAACAAACTACACATGTAGGATGTGCTTTTGAAAATTATGCACCACTCAAAATTACAATACAAAATTATACATCAATAAACTCCATAAAACTCAATAGGACATGATCTCCATCATAACAACGCACATATGCTCATGGGAAGCCGATTAGAGCTTTTGGGTGCCCGGTTTATGACCTTGCGTCTTAGCTATGTGCCATTGGGTGGCATGTGATGGCATAGCTCAAAATTCGGCTAAGTTCATCATCTCAATAGTGGGAAGCTAAGCATTTACTGATATGCACTTACAACATGGAAGGATTTGCATAGATCAAGTAATCTAAGAAAGTGGGAAAATCATGGGAGAAAACGAGGCTCTTAAAACACAAAATTGGTTTGATTGAGTTTACAAATCGAGCCACATAAATTCTGCATAATCTCCTCTTATGAAAACAACAATTTGAGGCATCAAAATGAAGATCTAATTGACTGATTTGGTGAAGAAAATCTCAGAAAAATATCAATAAAAAATGCTCAAAAAATCCTAGGAAAAAACTCATGGAAATGAGATCAATATATGCATGGATGATACCTTCAACTATATAAATCAAGAGGGATTAAGGTAGATTCAAGGGATCAATAATCTAACAACAAAATAATGAAGATAACTTGCTGTAATTGAGAATTTACAGCAAGGGGAATAAACTAGATTACTAGAATCAAAGAAAATAAAATAGATTTTATTCAATTGATGAGGCCTTAAGAATATATCATAGATGGCTTGAATTTGAGCTTTGGGTCACCATTAATGAAGTCATGAAAGAGCTTGAATGGAGCTTTCTCTCACATCATCTTGAAAGCAATTCTCTAGAGAGAGAAAGGAAGAGGAGAAAGCCCTTGGGCATGCCACTCTAGAATGGATGAGAGAGAGAGAGAGGTTGTGAACTCATGTTAAGAATGGAGGTTCAAGGGGGTATTTATAGGCTTGTAACCCTTCAATGCATAGATGCTTCTAGATTGATGAATCTTAGCCCTCCATGTCATCATCCAATGGCTACAAAGAGAGGCTTGATTCTAGCCCACTATCCACTATCATGCTATCAAAATCTGTGGTATGGATTTAAATATGTTTTATCCTTCTTTAATTCACTCCGACTTCCCTTCTTATTAAAATACCCATGCTCTTTACATTTAATAAACTAAAAATCACGTTGGTAGGCATTATCCTTGTGGTAATTTGACAAAATTTAAGTAAAACACAAATCTCAAAAGTTCCTTCTATTTTATAAGAGCATGTGAAGCTAATGAAATCATTCCACATAAGCTAGGTAGTTAATTGCACATTTACCATATACTCTTAGGGTTAGGCTTGTAATTACAAACTCTATGCCCCTTCTAGAAGCCTCTAGATGTGCGGACAAACCCCTTTCTTTTCGCATTAAACATGTACTAAAAATAATTTTTTTAAAATTACAATATTTAATAAAATACCAAAATTCAATACCCCGCACTAGATACGACAATATTCAAAAAGGTCATGGGGGTCCCCTAGGAGGTTGACGTCACCCCCACTTCATCCTCCACGTGGGGTGACGTGGACCCCCTAGGCCTTCATGTGGACACCCCCCTTCCAATTGGGTGTCATTTGTGGTCCCAGGGGACTGTCATTTATTGTAAACAATTTTGGAAAATACATTTTCTTGTTTAAAATTTTTTGAAAAAAATCTCAAAAATCCACAAAAATCATTTTAATGATTTTTCATCAAAATAAATCATTTTAACATTGTTTAAAAATAATTAAAAGGAAAATTAGGATCCTTGGAGTTGAATTATGAAACAGAGTACTTCACTCGGCTAGACCTTCTTTGCATGACCTAATAGACTCATGACCTACAATGCATAATCAGGGGCTCATGAACTTAGCCTATCAAAGTCAAACCAATGAGTGACCATGAATCCCCAAGTATAAGTGGACTTTAGGTGGACCCCCTTGAGGACATGCCCACACAAGGTGTGGGGGTTCCTCTCTTGGCACATGTGCATACCTCTTACTAGTGGATCTCTGAAAGAATTTTTGAAGAGAGAATTTTTTTTTTTTTAAAATACTGGGCCAGGCCAGGCCAACAGACCCGGCCCAGCAGGTCTAATGGGCACTTTACTGGGCCTAACGGGCGGGCCAGGTTCCGTGTATATTTCCCAGTCCTAACAAACCAGGCCCGAGCTAGCTATTTTTTGGGCCGGGCTCTACTGGCTCAGCCCTGTATTGTATCGGGCCATACCAGGCTGAAGGCCAGGCTAGGCCGGGCCAGGCCGGGCCGGGCCTTGCCCATTGGCAGCCCTACTCTTGGTGCCTCCCATGCATATAAATCCTTCTCATGACTCAATGGAACCTCCATAACTCTTGGTCCCCATGTGCCAAGATCCTAGAGTCATGTCGCTCTTTTACTCCCACTGAAGTTAAGAGCTATCGAAAATGTCGGAATTTAAGGCCTTGAAAGAACATAATTCCAACAGATATAGAGTAATGGCAAGACAAGAAATGATAGAATTCAGATTGAATACATCAGAGGGAACTTAGTGGTGGCTCCAATAGGCGATAAGATAAGGGAAAGTAGACTTACGTGGTTTGGCTATTTGTAGCGTTGACCTAGAACAACACCACTTAGAAGGGGTGATTTGGTTCAAGTTGAGGGGTCTAAAAGGGCAAGCAGAAGCCCCAAAAGGACATGGATGGAAACATTGGGAAGAGATTTGATAACCTATGGTTTGACTAAGGGTATGACCCTTAATTGAGCGGAATGACGTAATAGGATTTGTGTAGTCGACCCTAAAAAGTTGGGATAAGGCTCAGCTTATGATGATGATGATGATCATCATCATCATTGATACTCCCCCTAACACATTAACAAGTGGTCAATGATTATAAATTGGAATACATGGGATTCAACTGAATTATTTATTTTCTTGAACACTTTTGTTGTATGATGAATCTCTTACCACTTTCGTGCTCATTCATCATTCTTGCTTGATATTTTACTTAGAAACTTAGAATTTATTTTGTTTATGTATTGCCATTATAATGGAATATGCTAGAGAATTTTGAGTACTGTGGTCATTATTCATCATCATCATTCGAGCCTTATCCCAACTATTTTGGGTCGGTTGTCATTATTAGTTCATGTTTTTGTTTTTTTCCTATTAAGTGTTCCAAGCATCAATATAGTCTTTGTGCTTGTTCTGAAATTTTATGCAGTTTAATGAGCCTTAGCACTGAAGCTTGAAGCAATGAAAATTGTTCTATTGGTCCCAATTTTTGGTGTTAGTGCTATTTCAATGTGAAATATCTGCCAAATCATTATTTTTATCTTATCTGTCTGTGACTTAGTTGTCAATGTGTATTAATATGACAAGTTTTCTCTTGAAATCTTGCAGGGTTAGGTTGGAAGTCATGGAAGAAGCGCTGGTTCATCCTCACACGTACATCTTTGGTTTTCTTCAAAAATGATCCTGTTAGTAGTAAAACTATTCTCCATGTACACCTTTCACTTAAAAATGAAATCTCTTGATACTCTTCGCTTTTGTATTGATTTAGTCAAGTATGAGACTCATGGAAATATGTGCAACTAGATTTAAACTGAAGCCTGCAAAATTTTGATGTATGGATATTTCTGTCAACTTTGTGTTAGTTGAGTTGAGAAAGTTACCAAAAGATTTAAATTCGCACATCTCCGCTCTATGTTTCTGTTATGTGAAACATTTTGTGGATTCTACTTTGCTAGGAACATCTCATCACACACTCAACTTCAATACTGTTATCATTCTGCTTAGTGTTCTCTGGAGGGTGGAAACTAGTGTTCTCTTGAGAGTCAAAACAAGCATTTGTATTCGTTGAGATTACTGTTGCTTTGAATATTGAAATGATTGTCCTCCTTGAAGTCCCTCAAGGTATCAAAACAGACTGTGTACTAGTCCTATTCCTTCCATTCAGCCACATCTATGTAGGATAACTAGCTCTGTTCACACCCCTAAATTGGCCCCTATACTATTTGCAATGTGATCTTACATGTTATGCACTGAAACTGTTAAGAATCATTTTAAATAATTATTTATTTCACATGAAGTTTTTCATGTGGAAATACTATATTGGTTTCTTTACTCTTGATGTCTAGATTTCTCAAATTCAAGCTTCCCTTACTATGGAGATCACTGCTTCAATGGAAGCTGTACATAGTTTGATAAGTGTTTATTCTGTAAATCTCTTTATATAAAATGTTTTATGCCGTATAAAGGGCAATATAGTAACTATGCTAAAACTCATGGACAATAATTTTATACTGCATTCCCCTTTTATTTTAACTATACTAATTTTATGCATTCTTCTGGCATTTAAGTGTGCACAAGAATTTGTATTGCATTACCCTTGCATTTGAACTGTCCTAGTTTCATTTCTATAACTTCATTATCAGCTAGGAAATGCCCAGGTTTAATGATTTATCCGATCACAGGAGTACAAGTCGTTCTTTCTATATATTTGTTGTACTGAAGTTTGATAGTCAAGCATTTTCTGTTGTAGTACTTTTGAATTTCTCATTAGAAAGGATAAACCTCTTCTTTCAAGCTATCTAATTGTTTGAGCTGTTTTGTTATTAAAAACAAATCATTCCTTTCAGGCTTTTAGTAGCTCAGGATATTCTCCTTTTTTGGAAATCAATGTTGACTTGAGATTAGCAATTCATTTGTTTGCTTGTTAGCAGAGTGCACTTCCCCAGAGAGGTGGTGAAGTTAATTTAACTTTAGGTGGGATTGACTTGAATAATTCTGGGAGGTAAGCAATTTGTTGAATATAGCTTTGGAGATATTGATAATTTATTTGATCTGATAGTGAAGTGTTTGCCTTGAAATGTGAACTTTGCAGTGTGGTTGTTAGGGAAGACAAGAAATTATTGACTGTGCTTTTCCCTGATGGACGTGATGGGAGGGCTTTTACCCTTAAGGTACATTGCTGATCATTTTACTTCTTGTTGTTTATTGACTATCAAGAAAAGAAGGACCTCACTGGTTATTGCTAGCTAGCAATCACATGATACTCTCTTCTTGCTTCGTGATTTAAATATTCCATTGTTTTAATCAGGATTTTCTTATTTTCATTTATTGTTTGGATTATTTAGGCAGAATCGTCAGAGGATTTGTTCGAGTGGAAAACAGCTCTGGAACATGCATTGGCACATGCACCTAGTCCAGCCCTTGCAATGGGGCATGATGGAATTTTCCGTACTGATGGATCTGATGAGATTGAAGGATCATATGAACAATGTATATATGATATTTGGATTTTTCATTGCAACTTCACTGGTCCATGGATTCGGAACCACTTTTTAAATGATATTAGGGATCGTTTTGGTTTTCTTTACTTGGTCAAGGTTCTTGTACCCAGTGATATATATTTCTTTGTCAATTCCAGGGAGAGATAATCGCTTGGTGAAGTCCTTGGTCGTTGGCAGGCCAATTTTGCTTGCTTTGGAAGATATTGATGGGGCACCATCATTTTTAGAAAAAGCGCTTTGTTTCCTGGAGAAATTTGGTATGCTTTGCTCCTATTCTCGGTTAAGCTATTTGCCAAAGTTTGAAATTTTTGAACAGTCCTTTACCTAATTTGAGCAATGAGCTTAGGAGTGGGTTGCATGAGATTGGTAATACTTTTTAAATATTTGCAATCTCTTTTCTTTTATCTGCTACCTTGCAACATGCAGATATTAAAAATGCATCTTGAAACATAAAGCTGACATTTATGGCTTGTTAATCATTTGGCATATATTTTTATGGGCTAGAACTTTCTGCTGTTGCTGTCCATTGTGTGTGTGTTGGTGTGCATGAGCAGGCCTTTCATTAGGTGGTACCTTTGGTAGAAAGATGCAAGGATGTAGGGTCCCGCAAGTCCCTAGGAAGTGGCAGAGCCTAAGAAGTTGAAGTTGCAGTTATCAACTTGTATATGGGTCCTCTCTCTCTCTCTCACACACACACGTGATTGGTGGATGAGGGACATGAACCCAAAGCCTTGTGTTTTTGGCTGGAGAGGAGAGCTGTTTACCACAATGAAGTATTTGTGATCGAGTTCCTAGGAGGCACACAAGTCTGGATTTCTTGCATATTGTATCTTGTTATCCTGGTATTCATGGATGGTTTTTTGTCTGACCTACAATCAGCATATTGCTGATTCCCTGTCTTGTTCCCCTTTGCCATTGGAGTTTGAAATCTTTACTATTATTTTTCTGGGGTAATCCTTTGTGAATCCTGTCATGGTCTTTTTTTTTTCATTTTCTCTGTATGTTTGGCTTCATGTCTTTGTAGCTTGCCCCTTTTACAAACCATGCAAGTTCTGATACTTTGAACTGCTGCATAGAAATAAAAAATGGCTCTAACACCAATATGCTTATCCAGGTCTTTATTGTCATAGTAAATTTGATGGCTTTGTTCTGGAATATCATCAGGGTTCCATGCACAGCTTGATTTATGGAATGCTTTTAATACTTGCCAACTGAAAAATGTTGCCTTTGCCACCTATCTGGACCCGTATACCCAATCATCACCTTGTTATTTCTGGTTACTCTCCTCACATCAGGAAACTCCCAATTGCCCCTTATTGCTTTGGAAACTCCATTTCATTTGGTTTGCTAAAATTGCACTTGTCCTTACTCTTTGCACCATACAAAATTCAAGAGTTCCTGTTGTTTGAAGATTCTTCACCGCAGAATTTGCAAGTAATACAGCGATTGAATTGACTATTTTGGTCTCCAATTCCATTGGTTTTACACTTGTTTTGATTCATCTGTACCCATATTATTTAGGCCAGTTATGAATATCGTCTTCATGCTATAATAAAGACCTACAGATATTTCTGTTTTTAATTAGTGAGTTTAACTTGCTCCCAATGGGTTCCGGAGCTCTTGAAGTCATTTTCAGAACATGGAGCTACTAAAATCTAGAATATTTTTCTTTTGTAGGGTCAAAAGTTGAGGGAATTTTGCGGCAGTCTGCAGATGTAGAAGAGGTTGATCGCAGAGTTCAGCAATACGAACAGGGTTAGACTCTTACTTTCTATTGTTCTTTATGGTAGTTGCCATTCAGTTGGGAAAGGCTTTGACGATGATGATGATGTTAGTTGCCATTCAAAACTAGAAATTTATTTATTGTTTGATGGAGTACAATAAGTAGTTATTTTGTCACATTTTCTTTTAGCTTGGATCTTCAATGTGATCATTGCAGCAGGACTTGGTTGGATCAATTAGCAGCATCTAACTTTCATATTTGACTTCCTCAGGGAAGACAGAATTTACTGCAGATGAAGATGCGCATGTTGTTGGGGACTGTGTTAAGGTACTATCCAAATACTGAAGAATATTCTATGTTTCAAGTATGAAGAAATTTGAAGTATTTTGTGGCTACAGCATGTTCTTCGAGAGTTACCATCATCTCCAGTTCCAGCATCTTGCTGCACTGCGCTACTGGAAGCATACAGTAAGTTCAAGATAATTATTCTCACATAAGCTTCTTAACTGAATATCTACATTTAATATGCCTGTAGGGAAGTGAGTTTGTGTTATTGCTATGCCAATTTGTAAATTATGTTCATGTTGATTACTTAAATGATCATATATGTAAGGTACTAGAGGGCTGACTGGGTATATTAATGAGTGACATTCATTTGTTTCGTGATTTTATTATAGCCTTTGTGATTGACTTGTAAAGTATGTATTGTTTCTTATGTTGCTTTATTTCAACACTTCATTAGAGATTGAGGGGAAGGATGCTCGGATCAACGCTATGCGTGCTGCATTATCCGACAGTTTTCCAGAACCAAATCGGCGGCTACTGCAGAGGTATCTTTGTCATTGCAAACATACTCTCCTAGTCTTCAAAAATGATACCTGAGGGTTTTCGTGACATTATCGATATTGATCTAATGTGATACAAATATGTATGGAGTGGTGAACTTTGAGCATCTTCTTTGATTATTAAAGTGTAATTTGGCTCATCATAGATAATAAACGTGGAACTCAAGAGGTACCCTTTCTTTCTTGAGAACCTACCTTAAGTATTAACATGGTCCAGGACTATCTTAGCTCTTTTTGTTTATCCGATTGAAGCTAAAGTCCTTTGTGTAATTTCAAGGAAAGAAAAAAGAAAAAGAAACAAAGGAAGTTGCAATCCTTTGCGGTTGCCAGGTGTTACAGTCCAGTAGCGTTTATTGTTATCAAATATTAGGAGATAAAAATAAAAGTAAGTTAACTATGTTGTTAAGAGTGGTTCAGCGACTGAACTGGTGAGGACACCGTTCTGGTCAGACTGGACTAGTTCATCTGTCGAACTGGTCGGAGAGTAATAAAAGAACAAGGAAAATGAAAAAAATAAAAAATTGAGAAAAATTTTAGGAACAAAAATAAAATTAGAACAAATGGATATGCCATATGTCCATAATTTCATCTCGCATGTTGAACTCCAAAATCCACATTCTAATAACCCTTGAAGTTGTAAGCAGTACCAAAGAAAATTAGGTTGAATGGAATATTGATGGAAAAAAGTCATAATTCATAGCATAAAGTGATAAACATAAAGTAACAACTCACAAGTCGCAACTCCTCATCTCCACATCCCTTTGACCAGACTTTTTTACAATTTACAAACTTACACATGTGACTGATCACATATTCATAAATGCTGAAGCAAAATAAACACAGGTCTTGTGTAATCAGTATTCTTCCTCCTCTTTGTCATCTGCTTCGTCTTCACTTCGACCTCCTTCCTCATGAATTTCTGACTATTGATCTCTAAATCGACATCTTCACCTATAAAGTTACAAAGGAAGTTGTCAATGTTTGAGTGTAATGAATAAAGTGAAAGCAATAAACTAATAAACCAATTAATTAAAACGCTTAAGGCTGAAATACATATTGTAGTCTAAAACTTAAAATTACCTCCTTGTAGTTGTTCCATCTCCATCCAATCTACCAACTGCTCCTCCTTCAAGATCTGGCTTCTTTGTCTTGACATCTTTTACAACATCGATCCTCTCTATTTCGATGGGGTATGGGCATATGGGTCTTTGTATGGTCCTAAATTTCATTACTTAAATTAATATATTTAGAGCCTAAACCCTGGATATGTGTTGAATAATAAGGGAAAAATAAATAATAGGCTAGTACCTCTGCCTCAAGCTTAGGTTGTATTGTAGAGAGGCCTAATTATTGAGCTTGTCATGCTCCAACCTATTTCATGCATCTATGTGGATGTGCAGGAAAATACTTCAATTAAAATTTCACCAACTCTACATCCAAAGAAAATATACAATGAAAACTTAATAAATTAATAAAACATTTAAGAAACCCTGATATTTCTAAGTTCTTAGTGAAACTTCAAAGAAATGCATAAAATCTTGACTTTAAAAATATTTCTGTTGTTTAACATTTTCCATAGTGGCCTTTAAGCCTTAATCTTATACAAAAACTGAAGAAAAAAAATTCAATTTTTAACAAAATTGAAAAAAACAAAATTAATGCAAAAATTTTGAAATTAGAAATTTAGAACTTCTTACTCAATTTCATGTATTAAATAGCAACATTTTTCATATTTCAGCAATTTCCATACGACCATAATGGCATTTAATCATTATGGAACACAAAAATGCATAAAATTTTTTCATTTAAAAATAAGCCAAAAATATAAAAACAGAAAAACAAAAATTTAACCTCTAATAAGCAGTATATTTACCGTAGTTTCATTTAAGTGTGAAATTCTTAAAAAACAGATAAAAAAACACATGAAAATAAAAACCGAAAAAAAACCTAATATTTTTAATGCATTCTAAAAGGCAAAAAATACATCACTAAACTCAATAAAGAAGAAAAAACCATTACATAGAACTCAAGAAACAATTTAATGCATCAATTTGGAAAAAAAAAAGAAAAATCATTTCTAGCAAGAACCCTAAAAATCCAGTTGTTTTTTGTATTTTTCTAAAGACAAAAAAAGTGAATATTGCAATAGACTTACTTGGGATTCTAATATGGCTTGAATCCTCCCCTAGAATTGTTGGGAAATAAGCCAAGATTTGGGGTGTGCACACGCACACATGAACATGTGTTCCCATACCAGATAGAGGGATAGCTCAAAATCGCTGAAGGTTCTGTCTGTCTGTGTCTCTCTCTTTTTCTCCATAAAAGGTAGTTTTTCAAACCCTAAAACCCATACATTATAGGTAGAAGACCAAGGTGCCCATCTCAAATGTAAAATGGCTGAAGAAACCACCCAAAAAGTTTGAAAAGGTCCCCAAAAAGGAATGTAAAAGGGGAAGAGAACCTTTATTGTCTTTGACTCATTGGGACTGTCTCGTTCAATAATGAACCAGTGGCCTGGCCATTTCACCGATTCGTGGTGCATTTGATGGCCATTATGGTCTAGGGGGTCAAACCGGCCTGGAATAGCTACCATTCCACCAGTTTCTGGTATGGACCACTATGTCCTATCTGGTTTAATGAGCACCAGTTATTAATAGACATCTGCTATTTATAGTATCTGCATGGTAAATGTTTGCTCATCCAGTTCCCTACAAGTTCAAAGGAAAGTACTTAATGTCTCCTTAAGGTCAGATATTTTTGCTTTTATTTCCATGGTGTTGTTTCTATGTCTTGTTTCTTTTGGTTCATTTCTCAACATTTCTTGTGTGCCTGGATTCAGCCCCATGTCTTTAACATATTTCCATTTCAATCCTGTGAAGGTAATTATGGTGCTCACTATTTCTCAGATTAGTTTGGGATGGAATGGTTTTAGTTGTAGGTGTACTTGTAAGTGTAATGGAATGGGCGAAGGTGGTGTATTGTGGACTTGTACCATTGTTCACCACTTTTCTTTAGTGGTTAATGGGGCCTATATATCAGGGTAGAGAAGTTTTCCCCCAAAAAGTTCTCTTTTAGATCTTTTATCGTTTAATCTTGTGTAGACACTTTAGAGGATTTGAAATGATTTGCTTTCCATGTTTTTTTATGCTTTTCCCATGTCACTTTGTTCCAGTGACCTTCTTTTGATTGAACCCATATTTCATACATACATGTATGAAAATTTGAAACTACAATTTTATAGGAATAGTGATTGTGGAGACAAATAACTTGGTGATGCGAAACTTTTTCAGTTAGAAACGTGTTCGTTGAATGAGATCATCCAGAATGATATCTGTTTTACTTTATTTTATGGATTTCTGTTGTACGGCAGTGGTTCATTGATTGGACTGCTAAAGTTTTCTGTCTTATTGGCTGGTTTAATTGAAAATAAATTGAGTCAGGTGGTCACTCCATTTTGATGTTCCTTCAATGGAATTTAATGGGTTGCATGACCTAATTGGCTTCTTTCTGATAACTTCTCTTCATTCCTTTCATTTGGTGCAGGGGTAATGTATTTGTGATTTTTTGTTTGGCTTTTTCGAATGCTATATTATTGGTTTGTCTACTGTTCTGAGAGTAGATTGATGTACACATTAAACTGCTTCCAAATATGGAGCTGTCAAATGCTCATGGCAATGCGGACATCACGACAAACTCATATTTTGGATTCCCACTCCATCCATATATTTGATTGAACCCATGTCACTTTTTGCCAGTTACCTTCTTTTGATTGAACCCATGTTTCATACATACATGTATGAAAATTTGAAACTATAATTTTATAGGAATAGTGATTGTGGAGACAAATAACTTGGCGACGTGGAACTTTTTCAGTTAGAACCGTGTCTGTTGAATGAGATCACCCAAAATAATATCTGTTTTACTTTATTTTCTGGATTTCTGTTGTATGGCAGTGGTTCATTGATTGGCTGCTAAATTTTGCTGTCTTATCGGCTAGTTTAGTTGAAAATAAATTGAGTCAGGTGGTCACTCCATTTTGATATTCCTTCAATGGAATTTAATGGGTTGCATGACCTAATTGGCTTCTTTCTGATAACTTCTCTTCATTCCTTTTCATTTGGTGCAGGGGTAATATATTTGTGATTTTTTGTTTGGCTTTTTCGAGTGTTTTATTATTGGTTTGTCTACAGTTCTGAGAGTAGATTGATGTACACATTAAACAGCTTCCAAATATGGAGCTGTCAAATGCTCATGGAAATGCGGACATCATGACAAATTCATGTTTTGGATTCCCACTCCATCCATATATTTGATTATCGCTGATGTTGTGTTTTTCCATCTAAATTTTATAATGCATTATTAATGACTGACTTACCTCTAATTCGCTACCATAGTTGTTGGAGGCGGTAGCAGGATTGGTTGGGGGAACGCTGAACTGCCACAGGGTGGAAGCTCCCCGGGGTTAGGATCAACATTCATACATTCAACAAGTTAAAGAGTTAGATCATAGGATACCTGGGAGAGAGATACCATGTCACTTGGATCGAGGTTTTGACGTGGAGGGATCTAAGCTCCACTATACATAAAACGAGATCAATTAACAATACATGACAAAATAAGGATCGAGCCAGTGCCCATTTGATCCATTATCATATTCCTTAGTTTTGTCTCTCCCTTGAGCTTATATTTGTTGCAAAAATTTAAAAATGGTTGTCATTTTAAAATGATCCTCTTCTGGTCAAATAATCAATTATTATTCTAGTGTTAAAATTTTAACCTGCCAAAAAAATGATATGACCATATATTCATCTATGTTGTCATGCACTCTTGCCAATCTATTCATCCTATCAGGCGCAAATCCTTTTTCCCCTATATTTCTCATACATTTGTTTTTTTTGTTCTTTTTTGAGCTCAGGGTTCTCAAAATGATGCATACTGTTGCTTCTCACACATCTGAGAATCGGATGACTGCATCTGCTGTGGCTGCGTGCATGGCGCCCTTGTTGTTACGACCGCTTTTGGCTGGTGAGTGTGAGCTAGAGGAAGAATTTACTATGACCGGCGACAGTTCTGCACAACTTCTGGCTGCGGCAAATGCTGCTAACAATGCCCAGGCAATCATAACAACTCTTCTGGAGGAGTATGACAGCATATTTGATGTAAGGTTCTTAACTATGTGTGCTCATTATCTTAAGTGGGTTATTACTTTCCTAATTTTGTCTGTTGATCGAAGTCTTTGAGTTTGGATCTGATTGCAGCCCTCGTTTTACTAGATTAGTGCTGTATTATTCCTTTTGATAAGTGAGATCATAATTATAATGCAGCTGCTTATGAAAATGATATGATTACACATATTTCTTATACTTAGGGTTTATTAAATACTATTTTCCACGATTTATTTATTGTTTGATTCTAATATGACAGTTTGCAATTAGTCTTTTTAGTCATTTTTTTTTTTGGTAATGGTCCAAGGCGTTTACAATTTTCTGGATCAGTGTATAATCAAGTAATCATCTAGTGCCTCTGTCCCATCGTTGCTCTTATAAAGAAATATATGCTAATGTGTTTTGGATAATGTGCTTCTCCTCTGACATTTTTTTCTTCTTTAATAGGATGAAGAATGTCGTAAGGGTTCTCCTTCCTCCAATTTTCATATGCAAGAGAGTGGTAGTGAGGAATCTACTGATGATGAAGATCTAGGAATGCGGGTCCATGGCTACCATGATGCACAAGATGTTGTTGACCCTGATAACCAAGACAATCTCGAGCGGGTACTTGCAAGCAGATTGAGTGAAAGTAGCGGTAATGCTGCGACTGACCTTTACTCTTGCAAGGTTGGTTTGCACTTCTCCGTCGGTACTGTTTGAATTGGTGCAGCAATTTCCATTTACTATGATTTTGTTGTCTTTTAGGTTGTAAAAGTGCATTATTTTGTAATCAACATAATACGCTTGCATAAGTGCGGCTGTAATATCACATATATTTAGGTGATATGATATGTCAATTCTGTATTCAATTTTGGTCACTTGAAAATAAATAAATATCTATCATCCTAACTGATTTTTATGATATTCTGTCACAAAAAAACTTGGCCTGGGTACTGGCCTCCTACAGCTTTTGTTATTCCCACTCCCATGTATGGGGTGGTAATAGAAAAAACATGGGTAAGAATGGTGGTTCGTCCGATTAAATTGTGTCATAGTAATTTGAAAAATATCTAGAAACATGATTGCCTTCTCTTTTCACTTAGTAAATATGAATGAAAAGACCCATGATCATTGAAATAGTGAAATACACAAAAATGGACAGAGCAAAGTAGGATTACCGTAAACATCTGGTTGAACAATGAGAGATGCCTCTGCTGTATTATCAATTTTTATTTAGAAGTATGTTTTCGAGTCCTGCAAACTGACAACACACCTTGTTCTCTAGCCTGTGTACTTTTATGCCATTTGAAATGCGTTTTGTTTGTACTTGAAATTCATGTGATGATAGGCAAATGTGCCTGTTCCTTTGATTCTAGGATGATGGAGTTCTTACCTCAAACCCTAGGCTTTGGGTTCTTCCATGCTGAATGTGGTGAATATTATGGCTTCACATTGCTATTACGGAAACCTCATGGTTCACATTGCTATTAAGGTAAACTCCTATGATGGAACATGTGATGATCAGCACAGTGACCGAGAATCTCCACATTCTTAGAAACTTTGTCCCTAAGTTGACGTAGGAGAATGCTCACATTCTTGGAAACTCAATCAGTACCAAAGTTGACTAAGGAGAATCCTCACATTCTTGGAAACTCATTTTGTGCCAAAACTGACTAAGGTCCTTTGTGTAGTATCCTACTATATTTAGACTCCATAATAGCTGTAACCTATGTGTATGCTGACCTGGACGTATGTGTATGTATAGAGAATATTGCCCCATGATTTAAGCAATGAGATATACATCCATATTTTTGCTCAATCGTTGCGCTTGGATTTTCTTTTCCTCACTTTTTCCTCAAACTTAACATTTTATTAGAGCATGGCTTGAAACCCTAGGATGCCCTTTGATTTCAGCAACCCTAGAATCTAGATTTTCCATTCTTATTGGGCTTGAAGTTGTGATGTATCAGCAGTCCCATATTTTTCAGCGGGATCATCTCGTTATTTTTCCAACAAGTAAGTTCATCAAATAATCTCTTTCTTTCCAGCAAAAAAAGGAAATCATAGACCTATTCTATCTCTCTATTTTTGTTTTTATTTTTATTTTTTTATTTTCTTTATTTTTTTTTAAATTTTTTAGCACATGCCAAAATCACATCAAATGTTTTCCATATCCTTCTTGCCCAAACAAACCAAAAAAAAGGGGTGTTTTTTAAAGCTTTAACAACTAGGAAGTCAGTTCCTCAGGGAAAGAGTTAGGGTTTCTAGTTAAGAGAGGGAGGAAAAAGTCAGAGATCAAGTACAATATTTCCTTGAGAAGCAATCAATCTAAGCACCCCAGAATTCATGATCACTACAGTTTGGTTCCTTAAAATAATACCAATATGCCAAAATGTTTATAGGAAGCCAAAGAACATGGGGTTACATCATAGGGAAGGTGAAAGTGCCCCCCATAAATGATACACCTCATAGTTAATAGGGAAGTAAGAATTTGATTTTAATGGCGTGGTTTCTTCATTCCATTCAGCCAAGTATTAGCAAGGCATTGTCGACCCTAGAGCTACAAATGATGTATGAGAGGTAGTAATCAAAACATACTCGCAACAAGATGATCTAGCCAGTATTTACCAGTTGCATTCCTAAATAGCAAATTTGCAACATGGGGAGATGATTGTGGAAGATTATTTTGGGATACTAAGGAAAAATTTGGAAGAAATAGACCACTATCAAAACCTATTAATCCCACTGTTGATAACATTAGAAAGAGGACCGAGCAATGAAGGATTTTTGAGTTCTTAGCAGGCCAACATTGTGAGTTTGAAATTTAGAGAGTACAGGTTCTAGAGAAGGACAAATTGCCCCCTGTCGAATTAGTCTATAATATGTGATGGAAGACGCCAATATAAAGGCCATTGCAGAGGGACAAAGTCAAGCATCCACCTTAAATGATCATTCCTTGCCGCAAGTTTCAAGCAAGGTAAAAGTGGTGTGAAAGGACTATATCGTGGCCCACTTTCTTTTCCAAAAAATGGAGAATCTAAAATGCTCCTATTGTGGGAAGAGGAGACATGCCTGAGAGCATTGTTGGGACTCACATCCACACTTGAGATTGAAGCAAAGTAAAGCAAATGCCAATGTATTATAGACTTTTTTTTTTAAAAGATTTTGGCCGGGGAAGGGGGAAGGGGGGGTTGGGGGCAGGGGGTCGGGTCAGTGGGAGACTTGAGCCACATAGTCCCAAAGTATCAAAATCAAGAGATTGGGCCATCAAAAATTTAGAGCACTAGTTGGCTACTTTTAAGACCTCACTCAAGTTTAAGACACCAGTAGACTAGCTAGGTACATATGCATTGCAAACCATGTCTCCTCATTACCACCTCTTCTGCATCTTGGATCATTGATTAGGGGCTACTGATCATATGACCGGTAAGAGTGTTGATTTTTGTCCTTTTTTCCCATTTCTTATGGATAACTTTCTAATTTATCCATGATCAATGCCTCTGGGACCGGTAAGAAAGTTGGTTTTTTGCCTTTTTCTATCATTTCTAGTGAGGTTAAACTTGCTGATGGATCCATGACCAATGCTTATGGGAGCTGACCATATAAGATTTTGTTGTCCTTGTCCGTACCCTCTAAGATTCATGTGGCTTCTTTTCCTTCCGATCTTCTATCTGTTAGCAGCTTGACAAAATAGCTAAACTGTAGTGTGACATCCTATCCCTCACATTGTGTTTTTCATGACCTAAAATGGGGAAGACGATTGGTGGCAGTTGAAGACAATGGGTTATACCTGTTCAAAACGGCATACACTTCTGTTGTTCTCAATTCTGAATCTAATTGTCAAGAGAAAGTACTCCTGTGGCACATCTGCTTATGCCATGTCTCTAGAATCCTTAAAAAACTAATATCTCCAATAAAGTTTGTTTCTTTGAGGGTTCGTTTGGCAATTAGAAATTTGGTTTCCTCACATGAAATTGCCTAAATATTGGAAATACTACAGTGAAAGGATGACCACATTTTTCAAAAATGAGAAATTTAAACTTCCACCACACAAGAGAGTAAATTGTTCAAAAAATTGGAAATACGGATTTCCCATTTTTGGACTTTTTTGTCATTTTGGAAAATATATACAAGGGGTTTTTTTTTTTTTGTGGAAATTAGATTGAGATGAAATTTGAAGGGTTTGTGCACCTACTTGGGTAGTTTTTATAAAAATATCAAAAAATAATTTATGTAATAAAATGGCTAAACTATCCCTTGAAATTTCAAGGGCTAATATGTCATTTTGTTTTTTAAAAATTTTATTTAATATTTTTATCAGTGCGAGGGATTTAAATTTGTAGATGTCCAAATTTTCATGTCCATCCAAGATATACCCAAAACTAAAAAAGGAAAATTGAAGTACCATTCAATCCATATCTGACGGTTTCGATTGACAGTATTTTAGGTAACCTATAACATCCAATCCAGATCTGACGGTTTCGACTGATAGTATTTTAGGTAATCTATACCATCCAATCCTTGATCTGACAGTTGCGATCGATAGTGTTTTAGGTAATCTATAATGTGGAGTTTTAGGCTTCAGTCATTCTGGTTTTTTTAAAAAATGTTTACATTTTTTACAAGTTTGTGAGGGGGAGAATCATGGACTCCTAAAAATTTAGCCCAATCCAATGCATAGATAATAAAAAATTGAAATAATAAGGTATGCTCTTAAACATCTGTGAGGATATTTTAATCATTATATTTTTGCCAAATTATTTTTCTATATTTTTTTTACGCGATTAGGAGTAAAAAATATAGAAGCCACAAAGATGTTAGCGCAATTTGATGTATAGAAAAAAATATAATAAATTGAAATCCTTGGACTTGCTCTCACCGCTTCCAAATTTTTTTATTTTTATGTGATATAGTGTGTCAAATTCACTAGATCTACCATGGATGAGCTATGATTTCGAAATCTCATTCTTAAACTTTTCCATATCATTAACAAAAACGTTAATAAATGGTTGAAATTGGCTTATTTTCAGATCTTATTTATGAAAATTGGCTAATTTTCAGATCTCCTAATTTATGAAATTTCAGCTTAAACCAAACATGGTTTTCCAAAATCTCCGTAATTCTGGACCGGTTAACCAAACACGGTATTTTCCATTACCAGGTACTCAATTGTTCCCCTTTTAGACATTAGTATTGGAAATCTCCAATTCTAATTCCAGGTACTAGTTCCCAATCACCTTCTAAATTTTTCTCAATTACAATATGAGACTTGTCATTTGCTTAAATATTACAAAACCTACTTTCCTTGTAGTGAAAATAAAAGTTCTAAATCATTCCACCTTGTTTGGGGGCTTACTCCAATATTTTTATATAAGTATATTGTTATTTTATCGTATTCATCGATGACTATTCTTATAATACTTGGATCTATCTTTTGTAAAGTAGAGATTAAGTACCCTCAAGAGTTCAAACATTTCATAAAATGGTCAGACCAAGTTTGAGACTGATGTCAAATTTTCCCGTTCTTATAATGCACGAGAGTATCTACACTGCAGATTGAAGAATTATTTTCTTCAACGCAGTATTGAAACTCCAACATTGTGTTCTTATAAAAAAAATGCTTTGGCAGAATGGAAGAATAGAAGTTGTAAGAGCCATCATCATCGGAAGGGAGGTTCTTAAGAAATATTGAGATGAAGCCATTCTTTTTGTTGCTTATATGCTCAATAGGATGCCTACACCTGTTCTCCATGATGCTTACCCTTTAAAACCTCTCCACCATGCACTTCGTATGTTTTCTCTTCCACCAAAATCCTTTGGTTGTCTGGTTTGTGCAATACCCTGGGACTTTCCATAAATAAAGTAAGATCCCAATCTACCAGATGTGTGTTCCTGGGACTCAAGACCCCAATCTACTAGAAGCATACAAATGGTACTATCCAATGAGTAAGAGTATGTATGTCTCAAAATATGTTAGCTTCTTTGAGAACATGCCTAATTTTTCTTCCTTGAGAGATTCAATATCCCCTGTTCCACCCGACAGTTCTATTCCTCTTCTAGTGATTACAGATGGTTCCAGTAATCCAACCAAGGAACATGTGGAATCTATTGAGAAGCAATTGAAGGTGCATATTTGGGAAAAGACCAAGGGAAAATCTGATGCAAATGAGCAACCCCAACTGATGGACTTGATAAGTACCCCTTCTCGTCCTAGTCTTGTGCCTCTTCAACATGCTATTCCTATTTCTGTAGAAAAAGAGAAAAGGACTTTTATTCCTCATCCAATTTGAAGATTGTTCACTATGCTTCACTTTCACCCTCTTCTCGTGCATGTGTTTGCTCTATTCCTTCTGTTCCTATTTCCACTAAAGTTGTTGGTGAACTAGCTTATCTACCATGAAAACAGGCAATGATTATCTTAGAGAAGTAGTGAACTCGAGATATAATTGATCAGCCAAAAGGATAACATGTGGCATTATGCAGGTGGGTGCACACCCAGAAGCACGAACTAGATGGTTTGATGGATACGAGTCTCGTCTGGTGGCTAAAGGTTTTACATTGTTATATGGGTTCATTACAAGGAGACTTTGGTTCTGTAGCAAAACTTAAATCAATGTGGTACTTTTATCTATGGCAGCTAACATAAAGTGGCCACTCCACCAATTAGATGTGAAGAATGCCTTTCACCATGGAGATCTGCAAGAGGGGTGTATGACATTACCACTGGGGATTTGTCCTTGGAGGAGAAATGGAAGAAAGCTATAAATAGATTGAAACAGTCACCTTTATCTTGGTTCAAAAACTCATTATGGAAATGTGCTAGATTGAGTTTCAGAGGGCCGTTTCTGATGACTCCGTATTTGTTAAAAGAGATTTTGTTCTACATGATAGTAATAGTGTACGTGGATGCTATTGTCTCACATGAAATAATAATTACAAAACTAAAAAGTTAGGGATTTATTGTGGAGTGTTTTTGACATCAAAGGATCTTGGTCCATTGAAATACCTTCTTGGAATAGAGGAGGGAGGCAAGATCTAAGAAGGAATTTTTCTGTCTCAAAAGAAGTATACTCTTGATCTCCTGAATGACACAGAAATGCTTGGAGCCAAGACGGCTGAATCTCTCTTACAGGTTAATCACAAATTGTTTGATCAACAGTGAGAGCCTCTGAGTAACCCGGTTGCAATAAGAGATTGGTTGGTAGACTTATCTATTTGTTTGTCATGGTGAGATGCAGATATGCCCTAAGCGTGGCAAGTCAGTTTATGCACACACCATGCTCCCATCACTTAGAGATTGTTTATTGTATTTTATGATATCTAAAACCAACTCTCTGGAAACGACTACTTTAAACCAGTCACAGTTACCTTGATATAAAATGTTTTTGTGATACAGTTCTGGCGGACTGCTCTCTTGAACGACTATCTATCAGTGGGTACTTCATGACAAGCGTGGTAATTTAGTCACCTGAGTGAAACAGAGTCTTGTAGCCCGCTCTTTAGTAGGAGCCGAGATCGAGCAATGGAAAGTGCTACATATGAAATAATTTGACTTTGTTCTCTTCTTTAAGAGATGGTTTTAATGCGTCAATTCCTATTCCTTTACATTGTGATAATAAAGCAGCAATCTTCATTGTTTCAAACTGAATATTTCATGTAAGAACCAAGAATATTGAGGTTGACTATCACTTCACAAGAGAAAACGTTGCTTCGAAAGTAATATGTACTCGATGTGTTTCCTCTGATAATCAATCCGCATACATACTTACCAAGGCTTCTAATTGAGTTTGACTAAGGACACATTTTTTGAGAATGTTTCGACTAAAGCCACGTTGGGCAAGCTAGGCATCTCTATGATATCTATGCTCAGCTTGAGGGGGAGCATATGACTATTGTGGCTCCACACTGCTACTAAAAAAACCTCATGGCCCATGCTCTAATTAAGGAAACCTCCTATAATAGAGCATGTGATGATAAGGCACATTGACCAAGAATCCTCACCTATGCTGCATGGATTTGGGTACACATGTTGGTCTAGGACACAGGTACGGGGTGTCGGATTCTTTGAGCCCCACAAAGTAGGTTTCAGCGACATAACTATATCTGTGTGTGTGTGTGTAAACTATCATGATAGACACAAATACTAGCAAATTTTTTTATAATATTCCATTCACGATATCATAGAAGACAAGTGTCAATACAAAACATGACACCACAATTCTAAGTGTAAAAAAAAAAAATTCTGCTTCAACACCAATTAGAACCCATATGGATTTCCAAATTTTACATGACTAAATTGTACACTATAAATTTTTTGATCTATGAATCTTCTTCAGTGATCTCCTCAAACACAAGTGGATCCAAATCTGGGTCATCTAATGTTATGGAGACTGTTTGCACAAATAGGTGCATCCACCTGTAACTCATCTCCAAGTGCATCTTAATATCTTGAAGGCCCACTTTTTACTCTTCTTCTTTTCTTGAAAATTGGTAAGGTTAAAGTGCACACAAACCAAACCCTGAAATCTTGTTGCAAAAGGAAGTGGAGTACCAACGTGGAGTTAATATTAGAAAAAGTACTCAACTTCCTTTTGCAGCAAGACAATAAGCAAGGTTGAGCGAGAAGTCGAAATGCTAGTGCTTGCAGCCTAGGGGTACTAGTACCTTGTTTTTTGCCACCATGCCATTGCGTCTTCAGTGTAATGGTGTGCCAGAACCTCCCATTTCCCGAAATCACCGAATCCAGCTGTGAATCTAAGAAGAATCTGTACAAATACACATGTCCATACATCTCCAACATTGGTATGGGACGCTTGTTGAAGAATCCATATAACATAGATCCTCACATTCTTGAAAACTCAATTTGTACTAAAGTTAACTAAGGTCCTTTGTATATCCTACTCTATTTGGACTCCTTAATTGCTGTATCTATGTGCATGCTTACCTGTATTGTAACCCCCATATCTGCATGTATATATAGAGGGCACATTGCCCCATGATGTAAACAATGAGATATACATCCATGTTTTTTCCAAATCATTATGTTTGAATGTTCTTTTTTCTCGTCTTCCTCAAACTTAAACACTGAATAAAGGAAAAAATGGGAGGAATTCATTGGCAACCTGCCTTTTGGGGTTTGTCTTAGATATCGATGCCAGAGAACCGACTTCTTTAGAAGCAGTATCCTCTATGAATTTACCCGCATTTTGTTGGATCTATGGCAAGACAATGATAGATTTCAAAATGAATACATTCGAGGTAACTTAGGGGCAGCTCCAATGGGAGATAACATGAGGACAAGTAGACTTAGGTGATCTGGTCATGTGCAGAGTCGACATAGAACAACACTGGTTAGGAGGGATAATTTGATTCAAGTGGAAAGCTCTAAAAGGGAAAGGGGAAGCTCCCAAAGATATAGGTGGAAGTAATGAGAAAAGATACGATGACTTATAGTCTAACTGCAGATATGGCCCTTGATAGAGTAAAATGGCAAAGCATAATTCGTGTAGCCGATCCCAAATAGTTGGGATAAGGGTCGGTTGATGACGATGTCGGATATTGTCTGTTGGTGTCTCCTTGTAGAAAATCCCTTCTCCTTGTAGAAAATCCCTTTAACACTTATTGGCACTAGTGATACCAGTCCTTGTTCTATTGAACTGTACTGGGTACTTTCGCTCTCGGAGATTAGTTTGCATGCATTCATTGGTTGCCTTGTGGCTTGTCTTTTTATGCTGCAATGGTCAGCCTATTTCTATTTATCATCATGAAATAATTGTATATTTTCTATGGAACACATCGAACACGTGTTCTTTTGCAGTTTTTTTCTTTGGTTCACAAGCTCAATAGATGTTACATTTACGCATCATTATGCTATTTGGGATGCAGGTTTTTGAAGGTGCAGATACAGATGTGGACTCCCCTAAAGAGGTTCTCATGTCTGCTTCAAATCAGAAGCCATTGTTGGAGTCACTGAACCGGCATGGTGTAGCTAAGCAAAGCAATGGCAATGCACAGTTTGACAAATATGCCTCTACAGCTTTATCTGTTTGTGACTCTGATGAGTCCACTGGTGATACTCTGGCTACAGTGAATTCAAGACTTGGTGACCTTGGGTCTGAATTATGTGCAGAAAAGAATGTCAGCAAAGTAAATGGATCCACACCAAATACCAAGCGCCCCTTTTGGGGTCGCAGTGGCGTGAGTAGTTTGATCTTTCTCTGTTACTATTGGTTATATGACCTCCTTGGAAAAGTTCTAGAGGTTTTTAATATCTCAGGGCAAGTGATACTACTATGATTACAATAGATAATATTATGGGGTTCCCTATTGGTCCCCCCCCCCCCCCCTTCTCTTTCATTGCTTTGCGTGTCGTTGATCAACTCAAATGTAGTAATTGTAACATGCTAGATTTTACTGTTCCTGTAGATTTATTTATGCATTTAGTTTTTGCCAATTTGGCTCAGTGTTTTAAAATGCGGGATGCGGCCCTGATGCGGTGGGGGGCCGATGCGGCTGGATGCGGGTGCATCGCGATGATGAGGTCAATAAATGTAAAAAAATTCTAAAAAATTTTAAAAAATAAGTTAATGCATAGAAAAAAATATGAAGGTGATATATGTGATAGTAGGTATTTTAGTTTAACGATGAACTTCAACAGTATTAGTTGTCAGAGATTTTGTATCTAGTTATCCACCCATAAAGTATTTCCACAGAGCAAACACATCACACAATTTCTATCTTTGGGATTTTTTAGTTTAGCATATTTTCAAGCCGGATCCTTATTACAAGAAGATTGGGAAGAAGACGTTGTCCCAAAAATATGTATAATGGTAATATTATACAAGAAGGAAAAAAAATTTAACGACTCTGTGAAGTATTGCTCAATTTCTTTACGACGTCTGAAACCCCCAATTGTTTGTCACAAATTCACCCTAACATCTTCAAATGAACAATCAAAGGCATCCAATGAACATCCAAGTATCAAACAACCGCCAAATTGAAGATTTCGATGAAAAAAAAAATTCTGCCGAAATTTTTTTTTCCTCGATTTGATGCAAAAAAAGCCACAAAAGTGGCTGAAAATCTTCATTTAGGGCCCCTAATAACCCCTCCCCAAACAGTTTCTCTAATATTTGGATGGTCAAAAAGACCATTTTGCCCCTCCCAGAGGGGCAAAACAGAAAAAAATTTGGTGGACACTGTAGCATTGAGATGCGGTGCGATGCAGCCTATGCGGGATGCAGCTACGATGCGGCCTGATGCGGCGCATATGTGGCCGCATCTGTCAAAAACGCATATGCACCTATTTTTGATGCGGATGCGAGTGCATCCCGCATATGCGGCGATGCGGCTGCATTTTAAAACACTGATTTGGCTGGTTCACATTGATGGACAATATGCATATTTATGGGCTCAAATTTATTATTATTTATTAGTAGTTATTATTGTTTTTGCAGGCCAGGAAGAATCTATCCATAGAATCAGTAGATTCTTCTGGGGAAGAGGAGTAAGTTCTCCCTCTATTTCAGGCACAAACATCATCAATTCATCATCTTGGGCTTCACCCTATTTCGGCATCTTTTCCCTTTATGCTTTATTATATCATTTGTATAAATTGTGTAAACTTCACTATGGCTTGTGGTGTCTTGGGAAGACTTCACCTGGAATTTGACTCTTTTCTATTTGGTTGGAGAGAGGCCTTTGGAGCCCATAGCCTGTGGTTAAGAATAGTTCCATACTGCTGGGCTAGGGATAGAACCCACTTATAGTTCTGACACTTGATTTATGCACTGAAGGAATTTAATAGATGATTCTTTACTTGTTGGCTAAGCTCTTGATTAGATGTTATCTGTAGACTGACTTTATTACTGGCCATTATAGGCTTCTAATCCAGAGGCTTGAAATCACTAAAAATGAATTGCGTAACAGAATCGCAAAGGAGGTAAGATTCAATATCATAATCAAGCTCTTTGCATTTACATAGAAAAGATTCATATTTCTGTGTAATGTTACCTTTCAAAATTTTTATCGTCAATTAATTTGTTGATTACTGTGTAATGTCTTTTTGCAGGCTAAGGGAAATGCTATTTTGCAAGCAAGTTTAGAGAGACGAAAGCAAGCTTTGCATGAACGACGCTTGGCACTTGAACAAGATGTAAGAATACTTCCATCCTCTCATGAATTGTTTTTTGTAATGATTTTATTGTTAATCAGTAAGATTTGACATATGAAGACTAGTTGGAAGCTCTTATAAAGAAATCGGGGATTGTTTCAAAACAATTATGGCTAGTTGAAGGAATTAATCTTTTTCTTTAATGCTGGTTGAACTTTTTTCCCTTTTTTTATTTTTTTTGGTGGAAGGGAAATCATTCTTCTGCTGGCTTAATGTTCATACTTAGAAAATGTTATTTAGCACATACTTTTGGAAACGTCAAATTCCAGTCACTTTTTTTTAATCTGAGTTTGTACTGCTTCTGAAATCTGTTGTTTGTTCCAGGTTTCGAGACTCCAAGAGCAATTGCAAGCTGAAAGAGATCTTCGTGCTGCACTGGAGGTTGGATTGAGCATGTCTTCAGGGCAGTTTTGTGGCTCCCGTAGTATGGATTCCAAGGTTTGATGCTCGGTTTTAGAGATATTCTTGGTATTTTCCAGAGGTGTTCTAGATTTGTCTTGTTCAAAACATGCTGTTTCCAACAATTTCCACTTCTTTTACCTATTAAGACTAGGGCAGAGCTTGAGGAAATTGCTCTGGCGGAAGCAGATGTTGCACGGTTGAAGCAAAAAGTTGCTGAGCTCCATTCACAACTCAATAGACAGCGTCAACACCACTTGGGGTCATTGTCTGATGCGTGCGATCGTTATCAGCGTGGTCACAATCTTCAACCAGAACAGTATGATCTTAGTTGCTATCGAACTTTCCTGTTATTGGAATTGATAGTTTCTCCTAGTCAATTCATGTGCATGTGCATGCCCATGTTAATCAATTCATGTGCATGTGCATGTGCATGCGCGTGCCCATGCCTCCATGATTGCATGTGTCAAAGAGCAAGCACATGCTTACAAATATGCATGACGGATTTTTCCTGAACCTGGCTTTGTGAATACTTAATTTGTAGCAGTACCAGCATTTTTTTTCATTGAGTCATTTTTGGTTGATTAAGCAGAGGTTTAACTCTGATCAATTAATTATCAAAAAATGAAACACATTAGTAGTTGAGATTTTGTATTAGTTGAATATTTTATTTATTGGTTTGTGTTTCATTTATTTTATTGTTGTCTATGCCATTGATTTACCAAAAAAATGAAACACATTAGTAATTGAGATTTTCTATTAGTTGAATATTTTATTTACTGGTTTGTGCTCCATTTTTTTTTTTATTGTCTATACCATTGATTTTTTACTTTCAACTGCATAACTAATTTTAATATACAGTTTTCTGAGTCGAACTCATTCTCTCAATAACATTTCATCTATTCATTGATTGTTGATGGCATTCTACCAGTTTAAGCCTTCTTTGTCAATTGAGAAAACATTGTGAAACTAAAATATTTCAAGCCTTCTTATATCTACTATTGCTGATTCTTGTCTTGATTTGTTGCATTTCCTTATTATGCTCATCTTTTGTAATAAGTATTGTTTGATCCCTTATGTCAAATTTATTGTTGTAGGAGGGTTCTACATCGAGATTTTGACTCCACACTTGCTTTTTGTAATAATGAACGAAATCTTCGAAATGAGGTAATACTCTTTCCACGACCTAGTTGTGTTTTGACTGCTTCTATGGCAAGCAAATATGAAATTCTGCAATTTCGGCATCAATACCAAGCTTCTTGTGACACAAAAGGTCAATATCTTTTCACCATGCATTACTGAGGATGCGGTCGCTCTTGTCAAGTGTTCACTGATGTATGAGGAGCATCCATTATAGAGAACTCTTCATTGTACTGGGTTCGAAACTTTTCATTGATTGGATGAAATGTGTATTAAGTTGCACAAGCCCCACCAGCCAGTGTTGAATGGGATTTTATGCTCTTTAACAGCAGAGGGGTATCTATGCTTGTTATACCTTGGAGAGAGAGAGAGAGAGAGAGAGAGAGACGCAGGGAGGGAGAAAGGGAGGAAAGGGAAAGGTTTTTCTGGTCTTTTTTTTTGGGGGGGCGGGGGGGAGGGGGTTCGCATTAAGTCTACAAAGAATATCATGAACATCTTCCTCTATTATTGACCTATTGATTTGAGGGCCTGTTGGCATTTGATAAAGCTCTCTCTCTCTCTCTGAGTGTGTGTGAGCATGCATACCAATGCTGAAATGGTTTGTTATTGGAATACAGGAGAACTCGTTGGGAAGTGATTGGCGAAATGTAAAGCCACAAGTGTCATCTGTTCGTAGTAGCAGACAGCTGTCATGGAAACCACACCCTGAGTTGAGCCCAATGGACTCGAAAAGCACTGAGGCGTCTACAAGTGTTTCAGCAGATGACCTCTGTGCTGTTGATTCCACCATGCAAAGCACCTCTAGAGAGATGGAAGCAGTAAGTCTTTCTCTCTCTTCCACCCCATGGGTACATTAGCTGGGTTTGAATCATCAACCTATAGGCTGCAAATTGAACTCCCTCAAGAAATGAACTATGGGCTTGAAACTTTAAGGTTGAGGATTGAACTGCCTCAACAAATGAACTATGGGCTTGATACTATTCTCTCTCTCTCTCTCTCTCTCTCTCGCACCCACACACAAATTGAAGTGATTCTCACAATGTGAAAATTGTTGATTCAAAATAGGATACTGGGTTTCATCGGCAGCCAATGGCATCATCTGCCTTGGTGGAATTGACATCAAGGCTTGATTTCTTCAAAGAAAGGCGTACACAGCTCATGGAACAGCTTCACAATCTTGACCTTGGCTATGGGCCATCTTCGCAAGGCTTTGAATATAAAAGTTCCCCTCCATGGACAAGCCCCTAGTGAGAGAAATGGAGTCTGTGTACAAAGTGTTCCCTGATTGACTAGCCGCAGTTTGAGAAACTGCAAAAGTTCTTACTGTATATACATGATGTTCCTTTTATAGCTTGTAATTCATTCTCATTTCTTTTGATCATGTGAGTCTGCTTTCATGCAGTCGATGATTACTTCTCCTTTAGTTTGAGATTTTAGTGTAAGAAATGTTGTTTCTTGTAAACGGATGTACCAAATGATTGATTCTCTCTTTGGGCCATACTTGCTGCATTATTGTGTAGCTGTGATTTTGTTAGTGAAGACCATTGTCTGATTTGTTGGATTCTGGTGAAAATTCGGTTATTGTCGACCCATAATTCAGGTTAGGCAGAAAATTGTCTTAGTTTCTTCTTTGGAATGATGGATACTTTATTCCTGTAAAGAAAACACTCGCATTTTCACGATTCCTTTTCCATATTTCGTGAGAAACTCGTTAGTTCCAAACTAATACTGATGAATTAATTTTCCATATTCGCTGAGAAGTTTGTTAGTTCGGGAATAATGTTCATGAATTAATTTCTTACAAAGGAGAGATTAAAAGTAACCGCTCGATATAAAAAGCTTTCACTCGAAATCCAAAATCCAAGCTTTTCAACTTGGTACTTTTTTTAGTTTTGGGATTTAGACAGGTTAGACTTGGGTTTTAGAAAAGAGAAGTTTATATAGAGCTGAGGCTCTAAACAATCAAATTTGAGCCTACCTCAAGAATTTCACTTGAAGAGGTTGTTTTGATGTCAAAATATCTTCAAATCATCTTGACATCAAGATGCATGTATATTAGAAAAAAAGAGATTTCAAGTTTACAAAATAGTGTATTTTGTAGCGTATTTTTGGACCGTCAATTTTCAAAATTTTCAAGTTTTTAGAGATCTATCGATCTAAACTACTTTTGAAGTTTTACACTTTATAAATAAATATAAAAATATATTTTAAAGCTTTCACAAAGATTTTCTGTATTGAAACCACATTTCTCACCCTTCTTAGGTAGACTCTAATTTGATTGTTTAGAGCCCAGGCTTTATACAAACCACACCCTTTAGTTAATATTGGCTTGATTACCTTTTAACATGGATGTATTGAATTACTTTTATAAGCTTGCTCTCTTTAAAGTTTTTTAAATTTAGTAGTTCAGTTGTTTATGGCAACAGCAATGATTTGGCAATCCAAAAATTTGTGTTTTTTTTTATGGGAAACAAACCAAAAATTTAGTATTTGTTAATTTTTTATCTAATAAGGCAGCAAACGGATCTGTCACAGTAAATGAAGCACCTCTTGATCTGCGACCGGTGCATCGAGCTGGCGAACAATTTGAAGACATACAGGGAAGCCTGGATCTTGCCTAAGAGGTCAGGCAAGTCATATATAGATGAGCGTGACGTGGAGTAAGAGGAAATAGGTAAATCTTGGGCAGGTTTAAGTAGCTGAGGGAGGCGCCATTCTTCGGTACTGACCAGTGAATTCTCCTTTCCAGGATATTGCCATGGGCATGTTCAGCTTGAAGATGCAGTCATTTCTTCTAAGCGAGTTAACAGAGTCTTCAAAGATTACAATGGCAAAGTTTTCATATGTGAGATGACTCCTTGAGAAGGACCTGTGCTGAAACCATCTTCCTCTTTCAATATGGAAATTGGAGAGTTGAAATCTTCCTCGGGTTACTTCCAGGCAATTCAGATGATGGCAACTTCAAGCTTGGACTCAGGTTGGAGTTCCTCTTCATCAGTTTATTTTTCCTAGATCTGAGGAATCATATTCCCATATTATGTTATGAATAGACCACACAATTTTGATGAGCTCCTGGACAAAAGGATTCGGAGGTAGGACATCTAGAGAATCAGAGACGATCAGAGAAGAAGGATCTTCTTGTTGTAGGATGGTTCCATCATAGGAATGGTCTTGATGACTTCCGGGGTTATCAAAGATTTGGAATTTCTAACTTAACAATAGCCACCTTTTGCTGAACAGCAGAAGGATTATGCTTCAGTAGGAGATTGTCGAAGATCCAAAACTTGTACTTGGAATTCAGAATAATTTCTTATCATCCATGTCATGGTGGTGGTCCCTTGATAGATGAGAGTTTGGACAACATAGCAAATTCACAATAAATTGTTTGTATCATTGGCACGCTTTGTGATGCCAGTGGCACCACTTGCTCTTATCCTTGACCTCAAAGTTAGGAAAAGGAACTTTATTGCGGAAAGTATCCAACTTCTTGCAGATGAGGAGCTTGTGGACTTGTTCCATCGGCAGCTTGATGGGGGTACACTTCCTAGGGGGGTAAACTTCTATCGGATTTGAGCATTGTCACCCAAATCTGACTGCCAAGATCCAGCATAAGGCATGTGCTGCAAGGCTACCAACTTTATTTGTTGCGATTGTTGTGTAAGAGCTTTGGTAATGTGAGAATGGGTTGGGGTCGTGGTGGTGGCACCATTTGTGCCTCAGCTAATGTCTAGACTTCCAATCTCACCTAACACATTAAAAAACCACTAACGATTTAAAAAACGGATAGGGCCTCATCATCCCCACTAAATTACCCAAAAAAAAAAAACAACGAGCTTTGGTAATATTAATCCACTACATCAGTAGATGAGGGATTCTTAGGCTTCAATGATGTTTTCACCAGCTTCTTAGTATCCTAAAGCCTCATGATAGCCAATTCTTATAAAGGACCATCTCTCATAGAAGGCCCTCTTCATCAGCAAACTGAGAAAAATAATACCCTAGACTATGACAGTTTTCAAAATGAACCCACCACAGAGTCATACTAGTCTGGCAAGGTCATTCACTTGGACACCTTAGACACAAGTGTAGTGTTTGGTCCACTAGTTGATGTAGGCAACATTGGGCTATCATAATTTGGTTTTATAGTGTAAGCACTGTCATGGTAGCTAGATGGGGTGCATTATTCTAGTAGTATGTGATGAAACATCTCCTGCTAGTAAATGATGATAATTGTTAATGCCTTATAAGTGTCTTTCCATCCAGAATTTAGGCCATAGCAGCATTCATACTATTTGGGCAGTCCTTGAGGGATGGAAAGTCAAATAAGATGAGACCCATGGCCGTTGATTCCTCATCATTAAGAACCTCCTTAATGTAAAGGGCTAGAGGTGGGTCTGTTCTTCTCCTCTAGCGTCGCAAGTTAGGTCAATTATGGTCTCTGTAAAACTGGCAACAAATGGGGCTGTAGTGATAACGGTTGGAGCAAAACCGACTTTGAGATTTGGGTGGTAAGGAAAAGAGGTAGCTAGGCTAAAGTGATTGGTTGTATAGTAGGTTGGAGTACTGCAAAGGAGTTCAAGAACCAATGAGTTCAGTGGTGGAGCTCTGCAAAAGTTGATTGCCTGGTAGGCGCTGGGGCTATTGAATAGGCAGGTATTGTACTTGGTTGATTTGTGAATCCACCAGGGCTTGGAAGATGGTAGAAGGTTGAGAGCTTGCAGGTGGGGGAAGGTTTTGCTAGTAGAGATGATAGATGGGTAAGAAAGGTCGGAGAAAGAGCTGGTTGCATGCCCATGATTTGGGAAATAGTGTTATGGTTAGGAATATTTGAAGACAGGTTGATTTATGATATTGAGTTAACATGGGAGGATTGGATTGCAGATGACACCATTTACTTATTGGATTGACTAAATTAATTGTTTACTTATTGGATTGATTAAATTAATTGTTGCTAGTTTTTGTGTTTGATTGTTAACAGTTAATTACATTTAATTAAAAGGAACCAAGCTCTAAAAGTATAATACAATAAGAGAAATAAGTTGTACTCCCAGAAATGAATTGAACTTCTTCCAGACCTAAAACAAACTTTATCTTCAAAGGATCCAACTCCATTCACTATCTAAGACCTCAAATACTTTCCCATGAAGCACTCTCAAATACATCCATCCCAAGAAAGAAAGGGCAGGGCTCAACCAGCGACAAAAAGTAGGAACAAAAGATCGGTCCAAAGAGAAACATGAGAGAGGGAGAAAGAAAAGGGGGAAAATATAAGTGAAAGGTCAAAATGAAGGAGCAAGGGGCCCTTTTTTTTTCTTTTTTTTTTTTTTTTTTGGGGGTAAGTAAGGAGCAAGGGGCCTAAGAAAAGGAAGTGAAGGATTCCAGCTCAGACAACCCATCAAAGCAAAGCGGGCTCAGATCTGAAACACAAACATGAGTACTGGTGCAAAGCAGGCTTCGATCTTAGATAAAAACGTCAGATCTGAGATGAAAAAAAAGTATATATGTTGAAGAAAGCACAAATCTGAGAGCAAAAGGAGAAGAGACACCAGATAAAGGAAGAGTAAGTATCGAAAAAAAGGGAAGAATCACTAGACCCATTGCAACATTGACTCAATAGCTCAATGGCACAAGTCAGCGACTCAGTATTGGGTACGCCAATCATCGATAAAATGCTGGAGAATCAATGGCGATGAGCCACAGCAACTTTTCAAACTGTTTCTATTAAAATTAGGGAAAAGTTTGTATAGAGCCCAGGCTCTAAACAATCAAATTTGAGCCTACCTCAAAAAGTTCACTGAAAGAGGTTGTTTTGATGCCCACATATCTTCAAATTGATCATCTTGATATCAAGATGCATGGACACGAGAAAAAAATAAATTTCAAGTTTTGAAAATAGTGTATTTTGTAATTCATTTTTAGACTGTTAATTTTTAAGATTTTTATAGATCTGTTGATATATACTATTTTTAAAGCTTTCAACTTTATAAATAAATATGAAAATATATTTTAAAGCTATCACAAAGATTTTCAATAATGAAATCACATTTCTCGATACTATTTGAAGGTAGGCTCTAATTTGATTGCTTAGAGCCTAGGCTCTATACAAACTGCACCCTTAAAATTAATATCCTATTGACATGAGTTCCTTTTGCGCCTTTGCTTCCCCTATTGCATTTAAGTTCTATCCTCCCCCAACCATCCAGTCGTCCAATTTTGATCAAGAGAGTCACTGATCGTTTGATCTTTGATCCGACATCTCTAAGTATTTTATTTTTAGCTTTTTTTTTATACAAATTCTATGAATATGAAATTTGGTACGAGCCATCTTCTCATTGAGGCTCACCTATAAAAAATATTAAAATTAATTTTTCGATAAAATATAATGACCAAAATACCTTTTGAAACTTTTAAAGGTATTTTAATCATTTTATTTTATTGAAAATATATTTTTTTGTATTTTTCGCTAGTGCGAGTTTAATAGAGAAATAGATGTCCAAAATTTGGTGTCAAAATAGTTTATTAAAAAAAATTAAAACAAAATAGTGTAAAGACCTGACATTG